AGCAGTAGCAGTAGTAGCAGTACTAGTACTAGTGGTGGTAGTAATACGGTGACGGAGGAAATCCTGCACCACCCAGACGCTGACTAATTCCTCATGACATTGCCCATCACCAGGACGCCACACCCAGATTTCAATCTCGACGACAACATGCCATGTAGCTGGCGCAAGATTTTCGTCTATCGAGCCCACGGCCATTCCACTACTGCGACTACTGCTCCTGCTCCTTCTCCTGCTCCTGCACCTGCTGCTACTGCTACTGCTACTGCTGGTGCTGGCGGCTACTGGCTCTGTTCCTGCTGCTGCTGCTGCTGGTCCTACTGCTACGGCTAGCTGCTACAGTACTGCTAGCTGCTAGCTGCTGCTGGAACACTGCCACTGCCACCGGCACCGCTCTTTGGCAAGCTCAACGGAAGTTAAAATGTGCACAATGTCTATTGCACCTACTACCAATTACAACTCGTCGTCGTGGTCTTGCACTCGCCGTCCTCGTCGTCGTGCAAACCCTCAACCCTTCCGCTCTTGCGCTGACTGCTATATCGAGGCACCCTTGTCGTCCGCAACCAAGGGGTCGGCCTGCCACGACCAGAGATGGATGGCTAGGGTTTGAGGCTTTGCGAATCAGCACTTGGACCCCGAAGATGAGCATCCCCATTACACTCCCTTTCGGCGCGTGCTTCTCAGAATTCATTGACTGGCTGTTTTGGTTGCAGAGTTTTACGTTCTGGGACTGGGAGGGGAACAGGGAGTGGCATGGCATGAGTCGAATGGCACTTGCCTATCTAGAGGGACCTAGTCTCCGTTCGCGCCCCACTGGTTCTCACTCGTAGAAACGCATGCCATGCCTGACATTGACAGCACAGGAGATGTGAGGTTTTCTGCGGGTTCGTTCAACAAGCTGTGCTGATGCAGAATCTAAATGTCCTTGCAAAAGCAAAAATTGCAACACGCAGGAACAGCAGGTTTCTCGTTTTGGAAGAGTATAGTCGATGGGTCTTGAATCAGTCTGTACTCTACGCGTACATCCGCTGAAACTCCATGGCAATCACCTTGTGCTGCAGCAAGGACTCCACCACAAGGTAGCGCCCCTTCTCGGAGGCTGCCTGGGCCACGAACAGGAGCCATCAGCAAGAAAGAAGCAGGACACCGTGCAGCTCACCACTCGCCTTTAAGAGTCCCTGAATCGCCAGCGCGGACCCTCAGGTTAGGGCTCGCCTCGTAAGACTGGCTGCTCCGAAACCTCCCGGCCCTGACAACCCTAACTTCCCTATAGGCCTTTCAAAAACTGACAACATGGGCCCGAGCTGAACAAAACCAACTCACCAGTGGGTTCTCCTGACGAGACCCAAGCCTCCGTGACCATCATCGATAGCAGTGCCCACAGCAATGTGATGACCAGCAGCAGCAATGTCATCAGATGTAGCTGTCTCGCTATCACCAGCACCATCATGTCGACAAGTACCATCGCTGATGCTACGAAGTTGTTGGTGACAGAATAATTCAATAATGAAAGCAAACAGGGCAAGCATGGGCAGTGTAACAACAGGACTAGGAGCAGCAGCGAGGCTGCTGCAGGGAGTATCTAGCAGTAGTAGCAACAGAAGTAGTAGTCGT